AGTTCTAAAACAACTTTTAGTTTTGTTTCCACTTCTCGACAACGATCTTTTTCTTGATTAAGTAATAGATCAAGTTCTTTGATACGACGAGTTTTTTCATCAATTTCTGAATGTAAATTACGCATATGTTGATTTGCTTTTTCGACATCATTATCAATATTTGATAAGAGTTCTTGTGAATTGTTATCAACATTTTCTTCTAATGATACTTTTGAAAGTAAATCATCTTTTTCTAATGAAAATAGATTTATATTATTTGATTTAATAATAAAATAATCTCACCTGTTGTTTCATCTTCATCATCATGATTATTCAATAGTTTTTCACGCATACGAGTGATAGTTTCATCTTTTTGTTCAATTAAATCTTTCAGTTGTTTCATTTTGATAGTAAGTTGATTATTATCAAGATCTAGTTGATTAGCTTGTTCTTGAAGTTGTTGTAATTGGTCTGTTTGGGTGAATTTTTCTTGTTTAAGTTGAGAAATTTCTGATTTAAGTAGTTGAATAGTTTCTTGTAGTTTTTCGAAACGTTCTAATGAGAGATCATTTGATTGTAATCGTGCTATTGTTTCTCGTTCTTTTTCTAATTCTTGTTTCATACGAAGATTCTAAATTATTTAATTTTTTATTTAATTGTTAAATTTTATAAAACAAAAATATTATTTTTTTTGTATGATATCTAGTACACGGTAGGAACTAATTAAGAACTATTGAATAGATTGTTTGACCTTGAAATCGACAAGAGATAAAATTGATATACTTCATATCATTTACCGTACAAGTCACATTTATTTTGATTGCAAAATTGAATGAATAATTTGATGCATGATAATTAGCGAGAAGCATGTTTTAAATAAATTTTTCTATGATGATTATTCATAAGAATATTCAAGGAAATTTCAACAATATCAACTGACATAGTTCAAGGAAACATTTGTTTTCTCAAATAACATGTTAAAATACTTTAAAAAGTGTTGAAGTTTTTAATCCTTAGAAAAGAACGATAAAGAATGTACTTATTGTAAACAATAGAAATCGATTAAGAATTCATCAGTTGTGTCTATCAAAGAATATATGAATAAATAATAACAATAACTAAAAAATCTCACTAAACTAGATGGAAACAGATGGTTTCGATTTCTCCGTATGCGAACTATTTCTTCTGATTAATATTTTAGACATATTATAAATCTTACTTCATCGTTTAAAGTTGCTGCATTTTCAACTTGTTTCTGCATATCAAATTCATGTTTTTGTATTAAACTTTGTCTATAATCATTATCTCTCAATAGAGTATCATGTTCTGTTCTGGAAATTTGCCAATCAGCATGAAGACGTTCGTATTTTTCACGTAATTCAAAGATTTCTTCATCTGTATCACGAATAGGTAGATTTTTTAATTCATCAATCTCATCTGATAATCTAAACATTCAAGAAAATAACAAATATAGGATCAAATTATTTAAATTCTTTTGTTTTTTACTTTTGATTTTGTCTTTCAAATGTTGCACGTTCAAGTTCAATTTGATTGTTATATTGTTGAAGTTGTTGACAACGAGCACGAATTTCTTTGTCATTTTTACTTTGTTTTAAACGTTTAGCACCCATTGAAAGAAAAATAAAACTACAGAAAAAACATATTGAACATATAAAACTAAACCACATTGTATTCATTAATTTTTCACGATCATTTGAAGCTCCGAAAAAGATTGATTGAATATATTCGGGTAACTAGAAAAGCAAAAAAAAGATTTAATAATTCAAATTTATATGAAAAATAATTGATTTTACCAAATTAATAAAACCTAATAGTTTATTTTCTACTATTCCAAAAGTGGATTCAAATGGTTTTGGTAATTGCCAACAAACCTGTCGATATTCAATAGGTAACATTTTATCACTATTATTTGATTTTAATGTTAATTCGTCGGTCTATGTAAATAAAAAAAAATTATAGTTTTGATATAATTTATACTGTAAAAATTACTTTTGAATCATGTGAATATTTCTCACTAGTATCTTCAATTGTTGGAGTAAGATGTGTTATAGTTTCTTCAGTTTCATGTATACGTGGTAAATGTGGACTATGATCATTAACAAGAAATGAATCAACAGTTGTGCTGTTTTCCACTTCTTGATCAAGAGAAAGATCTTCGTTTTGATTTAATTCTTGTTTTAGTTCATTGAGAACGACGGTAGGATCATGAACATGTACTTGTCGTGGAAGATCGGTGGTGTCAAATGGTTTTGTATTTTGATTATCTATATGTGTTTCAGGTATATTATCGATATCTGTCACGTTTTCATCGTTAGTTTGTGTTTCAATTTCGTTAGTTCTTTGAGTTTCGGCTTTATTATTGATATTAAAATCGATTGTCGGTGGTTGAATAGTTTCGATAGGTTGTTCAGTAACTGTTATGGTTGTTGATGATACTGTTGGTTCGATATTTATATTTTCTATAAAGGAAAAAGTAATAGAATAAAATAGAGAAAATGATCAATACCTGTTGATGAAATATTTTCTGTTTCTGATTGTGTTTTGATTGGTTCTTGATCTGATTGACCATGACGATGACGTGTATGAACTTTTTGATGCATCCTTGACGATGCTGAACGTAGGATTCTTGTCGTTGGTGTTGTTGGCGATGATGATGGTATTTGAGCAGAATTTAAAGATTCTTTTTGTTGTATAGGTTGAACATCATCTGATCTCCTATCGTTCACTTGCGATGGTTGTTGATCTACATATACTGATGGTATTTCTTGTTGTTGCTCTGGTGCACTAACATTTTGTATTGAATCAGTAATTTGTTGATGTTCATGATTATGTTTTGATGGTGTTGAAGATGGCAGATCTTCATCTATTGAACTTATAATATGTATTGAATCGCTTGTTCGTTGTGATTCTGAATTAAGATGTAATGAATTATCATTTACTATTACTTCAGGTGTTTGATGCAATACATCTGAATGGTGATCGAATGAATTCATATTTTGTTTTGTTTCATATTTTATCTCTTGTGATTGTGATGGTGTTGGAGACGATGGTTTAATATCGATCGAAATGTCATCTTTTGATGTTTCGCTTTTAATTGTATTAGAAATTGGTGGGTGTTGAATTGGTGTAGAAGGAATGGAATCAGGTGCAGAATTTGTATGACTCGGTATCTCTACGGGTTGATGTGATTGTGTTGATGATATAGTTTCACTATTAAGATATAAAATATCTTCTTTTATTATTTTTTGTGGATAAATATCTGTTGATTCCTCTTCATCAGTTTGTAAATGTCTCGAAGAAATCATTTCATCTACAACTACGTTTGGGTTGGAATTTTCATCTATATTTTGATTGTATTTTTGATTTTCAATTATATGTGGTTTTTCTGTTAATTGTAATTCATCATTGATGTATTGTTTTTGTTCCGATGGTATCTGTATCGATGGAGAAAGAGTTGATGTTGTTTCTTTGTGTATATGGGGTGGTATTTTAACATCTTCTTTTGTTTGATTTTGTAATTGTATATTGTTAATAGGATCTGCTAGAGGTGGGGCGACTTGTTCAAATTGAAATTCATTTCCATAATTATCTTCTAAAGCTGAATTTAATCGATTGATATCTTGAAAAAAATATAGAATTTTTATTTAAAAAAAAAATATAAAAGAAAAAATTCTTACAATCTTCTTCATTTTCATGTATATGATCATCATCATCACTATGTTGATGAACTGATTGTCTCAAATCATGTTTCGTCCGAAGACGAGCGTCAATTGTATCTTGTAAATGTTCATCATCATGATGCTTGTGAATATTCGCAGTTTCTAGAGCAAAAACAATAAAATTAACTAGTGGCTAAAAATAAAAGCAATTAAACAAACCTATATTTGTACTAAGAGGATCAATAGTGACAGCTGACTGAGAATATTTCGTTGTCACTGGATCGACATGATTATGATGTTCATGACCATAACAATTCGAAATACATAGAGAGAGGAAAATAGTAAATAAAAAATAGTGAATCAAAGCATTGCACAGCCTCATCTAGAATATTTTAGAGAAAATTAGTTAGTAAATTCAAATTCTTGTCGAACGTGAGTATTCGTAACCAATAGAGTCATGATTCATGAAAAACAACAAAAAATAATTGGAAATCTATCCCAACTAAGAAAAGAACACGATTACATTAAATGAGAAGAAAAAAATAAGACAGAAATATGTATATCAGAACGAAAAAAAAAAAGAAAACCATCTCTCAACGACGACACGACAAAACATCCATAGAAAATGGTATTGTACAGCATCCAATAGAAAGTCAGCGCTAGGTGTAGAAAGACAGCAAAATTGTATGAGTTGAGTCTTGTAAAAGAGCAAAATGGTGTGCAACTATCCATCCGATTCAAAAACTAATTGACATATGATGACAAAGAAATAAGCGACCATATATATGTGTGTGTGGTTTGAAATTTATGACATTGATTGATGAAACGGAGTTGCAAAATTTTAGTAAACAATAGCTATTGTTTATTAGATGAATAAGTAGCTCTTTTCATATGAGCTTGTAATATACATACTATTATTTCAAGTTAACTTTTATTTGAAGAGAATTATTAATATATGATTAGAATGGAAATAAATGATTCATTGAGATAAATAGGATTAATTGTAATAAATACTATATCCATAAATCCTTTCAGTCTTATGCTTATGCGAAGATTGTCACAAGTAATTTAGTACTTCTTTATGAAAGCATATAGGATTATATGCAACTTATTATATTGTTTTTGAAAATATAGATTCTATTGCTATTTATCTTAATTTCTTATCACTCGGTGATGTAATACTAGACAGAAGATCTATAAAAATATATTTAACAGATTTATAAGGCTTAAATTCAAACACTATGACATCATTAGGTAAAAAGAATCTAAATATGTATTCTTTCATTAAGTAATGTAAGCAAAGCACATTGATATATTCAACCTTTGAATGTTTAACATTGTACTTTAGTATATAAAACCCAATATTGAAATATCTGTAAAAATAAGCATACCTGTGAATAATTTGTCTAATATTACAAAGCAAATCGATTAGAAATTTAATGTTATTTAAAGTATTTATGTCATGAAATGATTCGCAAGTATGACATAGAATCTATAAATATCTACAGTCATTAGAACCTTAATAATCGCATGTACGACAGATAATCATTCATTTTTCTATACAAAAAAAAAATGATTAATCATTTGATATTGAAAAATTCTGATTAAAATATATAAAAATCGATACAAATTGTACTTTTAAATTGGTATTACACGCATATTATAAATTAGGGGTCTACAAATTTTATTCATAAGGTAGAATGACGGATAAAATATTCGATGAAAAAAAAAATGTCATCGTTTGATTTTTTCTTGATAAAAAAAAACTTACGCTTATCTCCATAATCTAACTAATCAATCATAGTGATTTGACTACTCTTTTTTCTTCTATACAGCACTTGAACACGTGCCTACAAGATTCATCCGTTTACTTTTTTTCCTTATACTGAATATTCAAAATATTACACTTTATTTTTATGCTAATAAAAATGGTTAGTAGACGATATTGCTGAATGCTTTATCTATTATTTTTCATGTAAAAGTTACGACGCAATTGGTCACAAAATATCATTTAGTGTTATTTACCTTACAGTCATGTTTTTTACCTGAGAAAAAGGACAACGTGCAACTTAATCAATCGAAACAGTTATGGTAAAAATCAGTCATGAAAGCTTACACAACATACCTATTTATCACACCGTTATCTAATAATATTATCATGTTTTCATAGTGATATAAAGTAGGGTCTGAATAACGTCAATGGTGTATGATATTATTTCGAATATATTTCTTACACGATAGGATCAAAAAAATTTATAGTAAAAGCAATAAAATAAAATAAAAGGAAAAGAAACTTAAAAATAAATTTATAACTGATGAAAAATATAGTTTACGTAACTGTCTATCAAGAGTAATAACAACCAATGATAAACTACTCGATACATTTATTTACTAACAATATTCAATGAAACTTGGAGCGTAGAGGATTTTTATTCATGAATACTGATAGTGATCTAAGCGATCCGATTAGTTTGATTTAATATGAAATAATAAATTCCACTTTTTCTGTTGTATAATAATCAAAACAATCGTTTTTTTAATCCAACAAGAAAGAATTTTCATGCCTGGAGTATAACTCTGGTAGTAAAAATATGAGGAGAAAAGTAGTATATTTAAAGATATGAATCAATAGCTATCTTTATTTCGTAAGTCTATGCAGTTTCTCATGATCAATAACAAGGTAGAGGTCAGCTAATAGAGAAAGAAAAATCAATGAATAGATAACTAGATAAATGATTATGTAAAAATGCTGCACGATCTCAGATATTTCTTGCTATAAGAAATATCGACATGAATTCTAGTAGTTTAATTGCTCATTATGTAAATCGTGATAATAACGTTCTACATAGAATAGAATTCGAATGAATATAAACATTCAAGAGCATAACGTCATTATTCTACATTGAATATCAAGTGAATAACCACTGTATTTTATAATTGCTAATGAGAATAATAACATGCTGAAGCGACCAAAAGACAAAGTGAATAAATTTCATGATTGTATACTCCTTGATAAAAAAGTTAATTTGTTCAAGCTGGAACACAAGAAAAGCATATATTCGTATGATAAAATTCTAATTAATTGAAAAATTTATTTTAATATTCGTGTTTGAGATCAAAACGATTGGCTTTTAGCAAGATTTCATCACATTAGATTGTGTTGCATGTTAGAAATAATCAAGATGGTTTTGTTTTATATGTTTCTATGTCTATAGAAATAATGTCATGAAATCCATTATTGATATTAAATATCTCGAGCTTTTCAAAATTAGACAAGTTAATGAATTTATCCACTACTGTGCTTATATGATTAATTATTATATAGTTTTATTAAAAATACAATTGAATGTGACTCAATTTAGAAAGTTTTAAAAGATAAAGCCATTTGAAGTATACTGCCACACAGTTAGATTTATCGATTCTATACTATAATAGTATAAAGAGTTCTTTCACTATTTTAGTTTCTATCTTTTATGATTTTCTTGTGTATTGTTCTTTTATGGAATTAATAAAAGACAAAGTGAATGATATGTTTATGTTTTATTTTTATTAGTAGATAAAACGTCATTGTTAACTGTTGCTTGTTGTAAACCATTGAATGGTATCGGATATCTAGCAGATGATATGAATCGATTGCATATCAAGGGAGGTAAAAACGGCGGTGGACGGAAATGTGGTCTAGACAACATAAATAGAGGTGGTTCTAAATAAAGAATAGTTATACAAAGGAAGAAAATATCAAAAAAACAAAATTTACCAGCTCTAAATGTATTGACCGGACTAGTACTATTTAAACTGATACTTTGATCAGTTGATCTAATTTCAATATAAAAATATTAGTTTTATCTAAAAACGGATAAACATCATACTTTGTCTCTTGTTGATTTGGAGATGCTGGAGTATTTCCATTTGTTCCTGGTTCACTCGATGCTCGACCTCGAATTAATACAAACAATTCATACATCAATCTTTCGTCATATAACAAACTTACTACCAGTATTAGTTAGATGTTGTGATGAACGTTCACTGTTACCATATTTAGTTATTCTATAGACATATATACATGTATAAAGAATATTAACATAAAACATACTGTCTTCGAAGACCTTCACATTCTTTTCGCGCTCCATCAAGTTCTCGACCTAAGCGCTTCACTTCCATCCATTTTTCATGTGTTTCATGTTGTAGTTTACTACATTCTTCACTAAACTTTGTTTGTTCACTATTTAACACCT